TTCTTCTCACTATCAGGAAGTTTCTCCTTAGTTCCAGGTTGCTTCTCTTCCATCAATGTTCCTCCACTCCGCAGGACCCTCTCAAAATGCTCTGCTGTGTAGCTGGGAGGGAGCTATTTTCTGTCCATCAATTGTAGGAAAGACAGGCCTTCTCTGTCTGTCTCTAATTCTACCCAAAAGCTGGAGAAAAATGCTTGCCTGGGGGCAGCTCTCCCCCCTGCAGTGTTGGGCTTCTCCCCACTGGCAGTGTAGCCTGTCTGGGACAGCTAGCCAAAGATGTTTTCACCCCAGAAGGATTTGGGCAGAGGGTCCAGGGTGCGGGTCAGGGGTTAGGGATGTCAGATTTGTCCATGTGGGGCATGGGAGGAATGAGTTTGGGGGTGTTGACTTATGTGTCCCCTCCCCAACCAGGAAAACAGCAAGTGGGTCTGTTTTTTGCAGGAAAACCAACGTAGTTCTGAGCGTCTTAAAAGCTACCATGTAAATTATTGCATGAGCCTGTAAGTTGGGGGGAACCAACCTTGGGAACTTTAAGACCTGTGGGTTTCAACTCCCAGAATTCCCCAGCGCAGCAGCCCTGGGGATTCCTGGGAAATTGGTGATTAATCCCTCGTAGCTATTTTACACAATTAATGCAGCAAATCCTTTGCATTATCCCTCTCTTCCCTTTTAGTATTTAATGACTAAGGGGCCTCACAGATATTGTGTAACAGTTAGGCTATGCCAGGGGTTTTCCAACTTGGCCCTTCTATGACTTGTGGACTTCAACTCCCAGAATTCCTCAGCCAGGATGCTTTAAGACGGGTCTTCCAACTTGGCCCTTTGATGACTTGCGGACTTCAACTCCCAGAATTCCTCAGCCCAGAGGCTTTAAGACAGGGGTCTTCCAGCTTGGCCCTTTGATGACTTGTGGACTTCAACTCCCAGAATTCCTCAGCCGGAGGCTTTAAGACAGGGGTCTTCCAGCTTGGCCCTTTGATGACTTGCTTCAACTCCCAGAATTCCTCAGCCAGGATGCTTTAAGACAGAGGTCTTCCAACTTGGCCCTTTGATGACTTGCGGACTTCAACTCCCAGCCAGGATGCTTTAAGACAGAGGTCTTCCAACTTGGCCCTTTGATGACTTGCGGACTTCAACTCCCAGAATTCCTCAGCCAGGCACACGTGCCTGGCTGAGGAATTCTGGGAGTTGAAGTCCGCAAGTCATCAAAGGGCCAAGTTGGAAGACCCCTGGGCTATGCTATGGTTTGACAGTGTGCAACTGACAGATTGGATGCCAAATCGTGGTTTTAACATAGATTTTCATCTGCTATTTATTATTTTATTCTAGGTTTTTATCTGGACATTCCTCAAGTGTTTTTCAGTTGCTCTGGGCCTCTGACTGTAATAAACATTGACTTGACTCCTAGCCCTGGAGCTCAGGGAAGCGTGGGCCCTTCAATCAAAGTTATTAACTCCTTGCTGGCTAAGGAATTCTGGGAGTTGAAGTCCACAGCTCTTAAAAGGTTCCCAAGCTTGGACCCCCTGCTGTAAGTGATTCATAATCGGGCAGATTTAGGAAGTTCTCTTCCCCCCCCCCCTTTTTTTTTTTGGTCTGTGTGACAAATTTGCAGAATGCATCACACATCCTGTAACAACATGGTGCAACTGGCAGACGTTACTCCCTGCCCTCCCCTCGGTGGGGGGGGGGGCTTAAATCTTAACAACTAAGATAGTAGCAGCAGCAGCAGTGTAGTCTTCCTGGAAGGAAAGCCAAGACCGTTAACAATCTTGTAATAGTAATAGTAGTAAAGTTGGAAGGGACCTTGGAGGTCATCTAGTCCAACCCCCTGCTCAGGCAGGAAAACCTACACCATTTCGGACCAATGGCTGTCCAGTTTCTTCTTAAAAACTTCCAGTGTTGGAGCATTCACCGCTTCTGGAGGCAGGTTGTTAATAATAATAATAAAGTCAGAAGGGAGCTTGGAGGTCATCTAGTCCAACCCCCTGCTCAGGCAGGAAACCCTACACCATTTCGGACAAATGGCTGTCCAGTCTCTTCTTAAAAACTTCTAGTGTTGGAGCATTCACCGCTTCTGGAGGCAGGTTGTTCCACTGGTTAATTGTTCTCACTGTCAGGAAGTTTCTCCTTAGTTCCAGGTTGCTTCTCTCCTTGATGAGTTTCCACCCGTTGCTTCTTGTCCTGCCTTCAGGTGCTTTGGAAAATAGCTTGACTGCCTCTTCTTTGGGGCAGCCCCTGAGATATTGGAATCTTGGAAAGCTCTTTTTTTGCAGGACCTTGGATGTTGCCTCCTGTTAAAATTCTTTTCAATGGTCAGCAAGGCAGCGTGGGTGCCTTTTATCCCAGGTCTGAAAACGTTCACTTTGGGCCACAGAGCTAGACTCTACCAAAAACCATGTGTAAAAGCAGCTCAGCTTCAGAGACGAGGGAATAAAAGTCTTAGCAGCACTCTGCGTAGGCCCTACTTTTTTTTTTCTCCCCTGGATGTCTTCCAGCTGATCAATGAAATAGTGTTGCTAGCAATATCCCACTTCAGGTTTTACTTTGCCTCTGTCTTCCTGAAAGCTTTTCTAATTAGAAGGCAGCTGTTAATTGGGATTGTGGTGACTGCATAGGGAAAAACTCTGCCCCATTTAAAAAGAAAATAAATCAGTTGGATTATTTCAGTTGTAATAGTAATAAAAGTTGGAAGGGACCTTGGAGGTCATCTAGTCCAACCCCCTGCTCAGGCAGGAAACCCTACACCATTTCGGACAAAGGGCTGTCCAGTCTCTTCTTTAAAACTTCCAGTGTTGGAGCATTCACAGCTTCTGGAGGCAAGGAGTTCCACTGGTTAATTGCTCTCACTGTTAGGAAATTTCTTCTTAATTCCAGGTTGCTTCTCTCTTTGGTTAGTTTCCATCGGTTGCTTCTTGTCCTGCCTTCAGGTGCTTTGGAGAATAGTTTGACTCCCTCTTTTTTGGGGCAGCCCCTGAGATACTGGAACAAAGCTATCCTGTCCCCCCTCGTCCTTCTCTTCATTAAACTAGACATTCCCAATTCCTGCAACCGTTCCTTATATATTTTAGCCTCCAGTCCCCTGATCCTCTTTGTTGCTCTTCTCTGTACTCTTTCTAGAGTCTCAACATCTTTTTTACATCGTGGTGACCAAAACCAGATGCAGTATTCCAAGTGTGGCCTTACCATATATTTGTTTATTCTTTTGTTTTACCCTGTAATCAGCTCTGGGAAGTGGGGGGAGGGGGGGAAGGGGTGGGGGGGTTTATATTGTAATAAATTTATAAAACTTTTAATTAAAAAAAGAAAGAAAATAAATCAGCTCACCCTTCTCTGCCGTGTTCTGGATTTGGGGTGAGCTGTTTTGTTTTATTTTTTAAAATACGTTTTATTAGTTTTTTTTAACACAATCGCCTTAATATTCGGTAAACGGTGTGTTGTCTGGGGTTTGCATTTAAGAAACGTTCACTTAACAGTTGATTTCTATAATCTTATAATCCACGTCATAATTTTACTTGATCTCCTCTCTGAGCTGTTTTAATTACCCCTGAAACTTGATATGGGGGGGGGGGGGAATCGGGAAGCTAAGCGAATCTACCTCTATTTTTTTTCTCCCCCCCCCCCAGCTTTCCCCAGCGGTGGCTCCTTTGTTGTGGTCACTGTGTGGGTTTTTCACAATGCTCTTGTGGCTGTTGGTCATATCCGCTTCCCTGATTCCTGAGCTGGGCTCTCAAAATGGCTGCTGGCTTTTCTGCCTCCTGATTTTAAACAGAAGGAGCAGCAATCTTTGGGGGGGGGGGTCTGGCACACAAGGGGGAGGGGGGGTCTCCTCCAGTCCATTTTTAAGCTCTGCCATAGAAATAGTTCTAATTCTAGCCCTGCTTTAGAGACAGCTGGAGGAAAGGGCCAATCACCAGGAGAGGGTGAGTTCTGGTCCCGCCTTAGCTACAAAAGCCAATGACTTAGGGCCAATCACCAAGAGTGGGTGAGTTCTAGTCCCGCCTTAGGCACAAAAGCCAGCTGGGTGACTTGGGCCAATCACCAGGAGAGGGTGAGTTCTAATCCCGCCTTAGCGACAAAAGCCAGCTGGGTGCCTTTGGGCCAATCACCAGGAGAGGGTGAGTTCTAGTCCCGCCTTAGAGACAAAAGCTAGCTGGGTGCCTTTGGGCCAATCACCAGGAGAGGGTGAGTTCTAGTCCCGCCTTAGAGACAAAAGCTAGCTGGGTGCCTTTGGGCCAATCACAGGAGAGGGTGAGTTCTAGTCCCGCCTTAGGCACAAAAGCCAGCTGGGTGCCTTTGGGCCAATCACCAGGAGAGGGTGAGTTCTAGTCCCGCCTTAGCGACAAAAGCCAGCTGGGTGCTTTTGGGCCAATCACCAGGAGAGGGTGAGTTCTAGTCCCGCCTTAGCGACAAAAGCCAGCTGGGTGCCTTTGGGCCAATCACCAGGAGAGGGTGAGTTCTAGTCCCGCCTTAGGCACAAAAGCCAGCTGGGTGCCTTTGGGCCAATCACCAGGAGAGGGTGAGTTCTAGTCCCGCCTTAGCGACAAAAGCCAGCTGGGTGCTTTTGGGCCAATCACCAGGAGAGGGTGAGTTCTAGTCCCGCCTTACCTACAAAAGCTAGCTGGGTGACTTTGGGCCGATCCCTCTCTCTCTCCCAGCCCAGCCCACCTCACAGGGTTGTTGTTGTGGGGAAAATAGGAGGAGGAGGAGGAGGTACGTTGGATATGTTTGCAGCCTTGTGTTCCGTGTTAAAAAAAAAAAGGCTGGATACCAATAAATAAATAAAGTTTTTTTTAAAAAAACGACAGACGGAGAGACTTCCTGTCTCCCGGGCAAAGGAGGGCAATCCTCGAAGTTTGGGGGTGAAAGCAGGACGCGGAAGCAGTCCAGGCGCCCTCCAGTTCTGGCCGGCCCTTGTTGTCTGGGATGTGTCTAGTCACAGCGCCTGTTGTTAAGGGTTAATGCGCGCGCAACTCACTTGTGCTTCTGGTCTCCTCCCACAGCAATCCTCCGTTGAGCGAGGAGATGTTGCCTCCCGGAGAATGGATGTGCCACCGCTGCACCGTGCGAAGGAAGGTAAAGATGATTTGGGACACACACACACACACACACACACACACACACACCCTCTTTCCTCCTCTCTGGAAGCCGAAGAGACTGGATCCCAACCGCTGTAGGAAGGAAATAAGCCCTCAAAAAAGCACAGCTGGTTCCGTTGCAGCAGACAAAAGCCTCTTTGACCCCCCACCCCCCTTTTTTTTGTTTGCCCCTCAGTGTTTAAAGAGGGGAAAGTGCATTATAAATCTTGAGAAAATCACTCAGACTTATAGACTGCTTTGCAGTGCTTTACAGCCCTCTCTAAGCAGTTTACAGATTCCCAACAATCCGGTTTTAACGGCCTCGGAAGGACAGAAGGCCCAGTCAACCTCCAGCCAGCCAGGATCGAACTGCTGGCGGTTTGGCAGAATTAGCCCGCAATACTGCGTTCTGAACACTGCGCCACCACAGGAGGAAAGAAAGGGAGGGAAGGAGGAAGGAAGGAAGGAAGGAAGGAAGGAAGGAAGGAAGGAAGGAAGGAAGGAAGGAAGGAAGGAAGGAAGGAAGGAAGGGGAAAAAGAAAGAAAGAAGGAAGGGAAGGAGGGAGGGAGGAAGAAAAGGAAGGGAAGGAAGGAAGGAAGGAAGAACTGAAAAGGGAAGGGGAAGGAGGGAGGGAGGAAGAAAAGAAGGAAGGGAAGGAAGGCGAGGAAGGAAGGAAGGAAGGAAGGAAGGAAGGGGAAAAAGAAGGGAGAGAAAGAAGGAAGGGAAGGAGAAGGAGGGAGGGAGGAAGAAAAGGAAGGGAATGAAGGAAGGAAGAAAGAACTGAAAAGGGAAGGGGAAGGAGGGAGGGAGGAAGAAAGGAAGGAAGGGAATGAAGGTGAGAAGGAAGGAAGGAAGGAAGGGGAAAAAGGGAGAGAAAGGGAAGGAGTGAGGGAGGAAGGGAATGAAGGCGAGAAGAAAGGGAAGGAAGGAAGGGGAAAAGGAAGGGAGAGAAAGAAGGAAAGGAAGGGGAGGGAGGGAGGAAGAAAAGGAAGGGAAGGAAGGAGAAAACTGGAAGGGAATGGGGCAGGAGGGAGGGAGGAAAAAAGGAAGGGAATGAAGGCGAGAAGAAAAAGAAGGAAGGAAGGAAGGAAGGAAGGAAGGAAGGAAGGAAGGAAGGAAGGAAGGGGGAAAAGAAAGGGAGAGAAAGAGGGAAGGAAGGAAGGAAGAAGAGCAAAAGCATTCACATCTATACCCCTTCACAGCGCTGTACAGCCGGTTCTAAGCAGGTCACAGAGTCAACCTATTTGCCCCCAACCATCTGACTCCTCGCTTTATGGACTTCGGAAGGACGGAAGGCTGAGTCAACCTAAGTCAACCCTTTGGAGATAAAACTACACCCCCCTCCCCCCAAGGAGTAACTTAACTGGCCTGCAGTGGGGCTGCGGGTGCCAGATTGACTCAGGAAGGCCGGGCCCTCCGCCTCCTTGGGCCACGCGCGGCCCTGCTCCACCCAGGCTGGCACCGGCCTCTTCAGCCCTTTCCGGTGGGCGCTTCCCTTGCCAAGCCCCCCCCCCCTCACTTCCTTCCAGCAAGTTCAGAAACAACTGGAGGGCCTCCCGCTGTTCCCACGGGGGGGGGGGGCAGCAGCAGGGAGAGAAGAAGGGGTGCAGCTGGTCAGCGGAGGGCGAAGCAGCAGCAGCAGGGCCAGCCAGGAGAGCCTGCTGCAAGCGGAGAGAAGCAGAGATATTCTGCCAGCCCTGGGACCCCCATCCCACTCCCCCCACCCACCCACCCCGGCATCTGGGGCAGAGAGTTTCCAGCTGCTGCTATCCCGAATGAATCCGTCTCTAAAGGAGTGTTTGTCTTTCCCCTGCCTGCCTGCCTGTCTGTCTACCATCTCTCTCTCTCTCTCTCTCACTCTCTCTCTCTCTCTCTCTCTCTCTCTCTCTCTCTCTCTCTCTTTTCCCTCTCTTTCTCTCTCTCTTCCATCTCTGTCTCTGTCTCTTTCTTCCCTCTCTCTCCTCCCTCCCTCCCTCCCTCTCTGTTTCTCTCTCTATCTCTCTCTGTCCCTCCCTGATTCTCCTTTCTTTCTTTCTTTCTTTCTTTCTTTCTTTCTTTCTTTCTTTCTTTCTTTCTTTCTTTCTTTCTTTCTTTCTTTCCCTGGTTCCCCCCTCGCTCTCTCTCTTATCTATTTATATCTATCTGTCTGTGTCTGTTATCTGTGTGTGTTTGTGTGTATCAAATTTAGAGATCCATAACTCTGTATTATCAGTCTACCTACCTACCTTACTGTCTGTCTGTCTCTCTCTATCCATCCATCCATCTCTGTCATTTATCCATCCATCTCTGTCTGTCTGTCTGTCTGTCTTTCTATCTATCTATCTATCCCTACACACACACACACACACACACACACACACACACACACACACACACACACACGAATCTATCTACAGCCTGGAGATACCCAGATGGAGTTCCTTTCTCCCTCTTTAATCAAACAGCCTCTTGTTTGGAGTCGCTTTTTTAACCTTCTGTAGCCTGAGGACCTGCTGCCATTCTCTTATAAAGGAGGGTGTGTCTGGTTTACAACAAGGGCACAAAAACCTGCCTTGGAGCTGTTCAGTGTCCATCAGCTCTTCCTCAGCCGGTGTCTTTTTCCCCCAAGGCTGGTGTCATCTTGAACCATCCCCGTTTTGTCTCCCAAAAACGGGGTGCCAGAATCTGGGGAAAGGTCTTGCTTAGGCCCTGGAATGGCTCTCTCCTTTGGCCTGTGTGATTGTGACACGTTTTGTAGCCCCTCTCCCCCCCACCCTTAAACATGGCTCCTTAGTCTCAGCCCTCAGCTACAAATAGTCTCCTTTGTTGGGTAATTTCAAACTGGCCAGCCAGCATTCCACTACAAGGCGATACAGTAGTCCTCCACTTATGACCCAAGCTGTCCGATGCTAAGCAAGGCAGCTGTGAAGTCCAGTTTTTGCCCCACTTTGCAGCCTTTTCGCGAGGGTGGTGAAGGGAATCCCGGCGGGTGTTAAGCGAATCACACAGTTGTTAAGCACATCTGGCCTCCTCCCTTGACTTGGCTGGCCAGAGGCCACCTGGGAAGGTTCAAAGGGGGGGGGTGTCCCGTGACCCTGGGTGCTGCAGCCCTCTTGGATCAAGGCCAGCTGGCGGGTGCCCGGATTTTGATCCCACGACTGCTTGGATGGAAGGAAGGAGGGTGAAAAGTCAGTGCCACTGCAACGTCAAATGGTCACTAAGCAAACAGTTATAAGTCGAGGTAGTCCTGTACAGTTCATTTAGTGACCATTCAAAGTTGCAACTGAAAAAGGAGACCTGACCATTTTTCACACTTACGGCCGTTGTAGCATCCCAGTGCCACGTGATCAAAATTCAGATGCTTGGAAGCTCTCTCTCTCTCTCTCTCTCTCTCCTTCTTTCTTTCTTTCTCTCTCTCTCTCTCTCTCTCTCTCTCTCTCTCTCTCTCTCTCTCTCTCTCTCTCTATCTATCTATCTCTTTCTCCCTCCCTCTCTCTATGTCTTTCTCTCATTCTCTCTCTGTCTCTCTCTTTCTTTCTCCCCCTCTCTCTCTATCTTTCTCCCTCCCTCTCTCTCCCTCTGTCTCTTTCTCTCCCTCTCTCTGTCTTTCTCTCTGTCTTTCTGTCTTTCTCTTTCTGTCTTTTTCTCTCTCTCTGTCTTTCTGTGTGTCTTTCTCTCTCCCTCCTCTCTCTGTCTTTCTGTCATTTTCTCTGTGTCTTTCCCTCTCTTTCTCCCTCTCTCTCTGTCTTTCTCTCCCTCTCTCATTATCTCTCTCTCTGTGTCTTTCTCCCTCCCCCTTCCCTCCCTCCTTCCTTCCTTCCTCTCTCTCTCTCTCTCTCTCTCTCTCTCTCTCTCTCTCTCTCTCTCTCTCTCTCTCTCTCTCTCTCTCTCTCACACACACACACACACACACACACACACACAGAGGGGCTTCCATGGGAAGACTGAGGGCTGCTTTGTGTCTTGCAGAAGAGAGAGCAGAAGAAGGAGCTCGGTCACATGAACGGCTTGGTTGACAAATCCGGCAAGAGGACCTCGTCTCCCACCAGCGACGCCGACTACCTGGACCGGGCGGGTGGTGGGAGCCTCCGGACCCTCCCCCACGTCCGGCTCTTGGAGCGCAGAGCCAGCCGGCCCGGCACCCCCACCTCCAACACCAGCACTGACACCCCCAACTCGGAGCAGAACGACCTGGACGAGGACATCATTGACGTGGACGAGGACTCCGCCCCCGGGGGGGAAGCCGAGGGGGGGCAGCCTCACCTGAAGCGGCCCTTCGAACTGCTTATCGCGGCCGCCATGGAGAGGAACCCCACCCAGTTCCAGCTGCCCAACGAGCTCACCTGCACCACGGCCCTGCCAGGTGAGTCCGGGGCGGCGCTTGGCGTGGCAGCCCCTTTGCAAGCAGGGGGCTGTGCCCGCCCCGACACCGGGCAAGGCCCAAAGGAACACCCTGGCTGGTTCTCCGCTTGGCTTCCGGCGTTGCCTGGACCATGGAGCACGGTCAGTGGTGGAGCCAAGCCAGGGGGTCTCCTTGCTTGAGCAGGGGTGGGCGACGGTGGCCCCCTGGACGACCTGCGGACTTCAACTCCCAGCATTCTGGAAGTGGAAGCCCCCAGGACGTAAAGGTCCTGAAGGGGCCAGAGTTGCCCACCCCTGCCCTTGAGGGGGAGCGTGGAGAGATTTCTCCCCTTCAAATCCCCAATACCTGCCTAGCCCTGTCTGTCTGTCTATCATCCGGGTGTGTTTGGGTGTATCAGATTTAGAGATATGTACCTCTGTATTATCAGCCTACCTGCCTACCTTGTTGTCTATCATCTGTCAACTGTGTGTGTTTGTGTTTATCAAATTTAGAGATATGTATCTCTGTATTATCAGTCTACCTACCTTACTATCTTTCTGTCTGTCTATCATCTGTCATCTGTGTGTGTTTGTGTGTATCAAA